CTTAACACAGTCTGAACCACTTCTATTTAGTTACTTCTTGTCTGTTGCCTGTGCTGCCCTAGTCTGTAAACCCCACAAGACCAGGTCATGTCCACCTGGCTTTGGGCTGAGCCTTGCTCCTAGGGCTCAGTGCCATTCAGTGAATGAATAGAGGAGTGAATGTATGATCCTTAGCCTTTGGCTGCTATATGGATATGGAACTCACCTGAACAACCTGTGCAGGGAGGCTTGGCTCTGCTCACACTTAGTGCAATCTGCAAATGTTTCTTGAAGCACTTACTGTGCGTTAAGCATTGTTCTAAACTCTACAGCAATGAAGGATGCAGACACAATTTATTACCTTGTAGAACTTGCATTTTAGTGAAAGTGAACAGGTATAAGAATCAAGAAGTAAAATATAAGGAGGCCAGATAGTAAGAAGGATAGAAGGGCTGGCAGTGCTGGGGAAGGGGGAGTTGGGAAAGGTTGCATGGGGGAGATGATATGTTAGAAAAACCCCAAATCCTGCAGCTATCAGGGGAAAGAGTGTTCCAGGCAGAGAGAGCAGCAAATGCAAAGGGCTTCAGGCTGGAGTATTAGAGTAGGGAGCAGCAGGGGCCATGAGTCCGGTCAAGTAGGACCTATGAACCATGGTGAAGGCATTGGTTGAGCCTTGCTCTGAGAAAGATGGGAGAGATACAAATGGACTTCTGTTTTTCAAGGACTACCAAGATTCTGTGAGTGGGTTGCATCTTGGTGGGCATCAAACTCATGCATCCCTCTGCTGGAATTGCTGTCCTGGACACTGTGCTAGTGCTTCCTGTCACTTCCCCTCTCTGAACCTGTGTCCCCAGCTGGAGGCTGCATGATGGTGGCCCTGGAAAGCAGAGACCAGCTCATCTACTTCCAACAGCCCATCTTCCTCTGGGGCACTGAGACAACAGAGAAGCAGTGAGGGACAATGAGACTCATGTGACTGACCCTTCTAACATGTCATCAGGTGAGCCCACTTATACCCTGGTTAATAAACTGGGAAGATGGGCTCTCTGAGGGCAAAACTGGGTGACATTGTAGAGGCCATAAACACTGCCAAAATATCGTTGCAGTGGTAACAATAACTAACAATTATGGTTTGCTATTCAACTAGGGCAAAATTAGATTCTAGGGTCAACCTGACACCTGACAGGAAGCCACCATCATCGCACGGCCTTCTGGGGGGCCAGTGATGGGAAGCCAGAAGGGCCAGTTCCCCTTCCCCATGGGGCTCATGGGCTGTCTGGTCTCAGGCTCCTGGAATCGGAAATCCGAGATGCCTCAGAGGTGGGAGGGGCCCCGGTTGCCTGTAGGCTTTTGGTCTTCCTCCACTCTCCTTTGGCCGTTGTCCATTGTCTGGGTAGAGACTATCTTTAGAGAAGGGAGGAGCTCAGACAGAGGCCACCGAGGACCCGGTACCTCGTCCCAGGCTGCCTCCAAAAGGGTGGGCAGATGTGTGGGAAGGTGGTGGGGGCTACCCGAGCTGGTTCGGAGGAGGTGCTCAAGTAGAACAGTTCTGCTTCTAGGAAAGGGTACTGTTGCCTAAAAAAAAGCCATGGGCAGCCCCCATGGGGTCTCTTCTCCTGAAGGCCATACCCCGGGGTGCTGAGCCTCCAGGGCTTGGTCTCCTTGGAGTTTGCCAAGGAGTGTCATGGACTCTTGCTTGCCTGGGAAGGTGCTGCACAGACACTGTCTTGAACCTGTAACAGGTTTCTCTGTAAGTGCAGCTTTGTGGCTGCGGCCATCCACCTGCAGCTGTTGAGGCAGATGGTTCTAAGCAGTGGGACAGTAAAAGCGGTCCTCGGAGGGTGAGTGGCTGCTGCCTGAGGGCTGGTCCCCTCAGAACCCTTCTCTTCATATAAGGAGAGACCTTTCAACTAATATATATAATATATAAATGGCTTTAAAAAAATCAGACCCTCAAGTTTGAAGACCCAATCCAAAACTGGGCATCTGAAATTAATAGATACTTCTCAGACAAAGAAGTACAAACAGCAAATAAGTATATTAAAAAATGTTCAACATCACTGTGCTTGAGAAATACAAATTGAAACAACACTGAGATTCCACCTCACTCCAGGAAAAATGGCTATCATCAAGAAATCAACCAATAACAAGGGCCAGTGAGGCTTGGGGCGGGGGGGGGGGGGGGGGGGATCGAAATGCTTCTCCTTTGTTGGTGGAATGTAAATTAGTACAAGCACTGTAGAAATCAGCATGGAGATTCTTCACAAAACTAAAACTAGAGGTCCCATTTGACCCAGCTATTCCTCTTCTTGGTATTTTCCTGAAAGAGTTAAAAGCATGATACCACAGGTTATATGCACAGACATGTCTATAACAACATAATTTTAATAGCTAAATCTTGGAAACAGCTCAGATGCCCATCAACAGATGAATGGATAAAGAAGATGTGGTTTTTATATACACTGGAGCACTACTCTGCCACACAGAACGATACACTTGAGACATTTTAAGGTAAATGGATACACCTTCAGGACACAATTTTAAGTGAAATAAATTGGATGCACATATTTAAATATCACATTGTTTCTTTTGTGTGAGAAATCAAAAAGGCAAATAAGGACCAAAATGTATAATAGATACTGGGAAGTAGGAAGAAAATGTTCAAATGGGAAGGGGAACAAGAGAGAGGGGAGGGGGAAGAGAAGGAAGGGAAAAGGAAAAAAAGAGAACAGAAGGAAAAAGTGGAAACAAAGCTTTTGTAAGTGTGGAGGGGAAGAACGATTGAAGGATGAGGAGGGGGAATGAGGAAAAAAGAAGAATCAAGATATAGTATGTGCAGGTACAAATTCCTCGTGATGAATGTGATCATTATGGATATCAAAGTGTACTAATAAAATCAGTTAAAAGAAGGGACCTTTCTGAGGAGCGTCTTATGAGCCACGAAGGCCTTGTGACACATGCAGCACCTGGGGATGAAGCCCGTGGTGGTGGCAGGTTCTGTTGAGTTTTCCTACATGCCTGGGACTGCTGCATTCTCTCTGTCCCACTGTGGGCACCCATTTCCCAAAGGGAACACCTACCTGAGCTGCTTTTCAAATGACAGCCACACGCCCTCCACTTCCTTCATCCTGGTGTCCCCTGAACAAGAAGGTCCCAAGCATTGTCATCTTGGGATCACTGTGCAAGGCTCCATGGGGAAAGGACAAGATCACCAAAACAACAAAAATGGGAAAGCTGTGTGGTTGGGAAAATCATGGCGTTCTCAAGAATGTTTCCTGTGAGCTGAAATGCTGAGGAGATGCTGAGGCTCCCTGCCCTCATCGGTATGCAGCCAGAGAGGCTGCCCCTGCTTTTCAGCGATGTCTCTCGTCTGTTTCTGTCTGTCTCTGTCTCTGTCTCTGTCTCTGTCTCTGTCTCTGTCTGTCTGTCTCTCTCTCTCTCTCTCTCTCTCTCTCTGTTGGCCCTTGCTTGTCTTTCAGACTTGGTTAAGGAGCCACCGTCTCTGAGAACTGCCTCTGCCATCTGACTCAACACTTTTCCTGTATCTCCCCTAGCAATTTTTACCCATACTTACTGCCCTCATTCTTGTCTTTAAGACCAGATAGCACATTGCTGTGGGAAACCGACCTTCTCCCCGTCCCTCTCAGTTCTTTAGTATTCCTGCCACCTCCTTCCCCTGCTGTGCCCGAGCAGACATTGCTAACCTGTCATGATGCTCTTCTTTGATGATCCCAGAGCCAGCCTCAGCATCATCCTCAGGCCGGCCCTCCCGGACCCAAGGAGAATGCAGTGTGCGGACACTTAGGCATCCCCCAGCAGATGTGCAGCCCTGTTCTCTGGTCACCCCATACTTCTCAATTGTTAGACTGACAGTAGGAGCATGAAGCATAGTGGCCTGTCCTGTGGAGATGCATCTGTTCTCTCCCTGGGGGTGAAGAAGACTTGAGAATGCCAAAAAAGGAAGAGTTGCTGAGTAAAGCAGAAATCAAAGCTGGAATGTAACTGTCATGTGGATAAAACCAGATGCAGACGTCTAGCCTTGTTTCCAGACTGTTGATGACTGATACAAGGCTGGCTTATGGCGTCCTTCTAGAATGAAGCACAGAGACCATAGGTTAACCGCACAAGGAAGACAAGGTGTCCACTGCTGGCCTTGGCGACTCAGCCGAGCATCCAACCCTGCTCACTGTGTGGGGGAACAGAGGCAACCTGACAAGCTGGCTGCTTCTCACCAGAAATCCCAACCCTGGAAAGTGTCTTGACACAAACAATGACAACCAACCTTCTTGGTAGAGTCCAGGGGACGGTCACAAGCTGGGGTTGCAGACTTGAGGATCCCAAAGAGTGAGGTGACACTTACATCACAAACCCGAAGAGAGAGACTGTGAACCAGGTAGGCAGAGGTGGGGGCAGGTTTTGTGCCTTTGCCAAATCCCAAGCGTCACACAGTGTGAGTCCAAAGGACGAGAAGTCAAGGCTGTGTGGTCATCAGAGGTGGGTCAGTCTGAGGTCACATGTGCCCTAGGTACTGTGTTATAGAATTAGTGGGAGACCCAGAAACACAGAGGATGGGGCCAAAGCAAGTATGAGTCCATAGTCTCCGCAGAATCACCTCTCATCTACACTAAGGCCACACTGGCAATAATGTCATTCTCATTCCTCTGAGGCTACGTTATATGCACAAGGGCCAGTCAGAGAATGCTCTGCCAGGACAAACCATCCCCGAGAGATGCTTTCCCCCTTGGCACCACATCCCTTATTTGCCCAGCAGCCCACATCCTGCTTCCCACAGGTGAACTTGAACTCTCCAAGATTAAAATTAAGCCCACTTTCAGGGAGCCCTTGGAAGTCCTTGAGGTTCACTTAGAAGGAAGTTGGAAATTATATCACTAATGTCATTGCCTTGGCAGTTGAGCACTATTCAGATTATTCATGCTGCAATCAATCAAACACACCCAAATTGTTCCTGCAGATTAGCCACTGGCTGTTAACAGAGTCCCTTACTTCCTTTGTATTGATTTACTACAGCAATCGAAATATACGGCCCTGGAAGACACTCCTTCTTTCAGCTGGGAACTTATAAATGTCAAGGAATTTCTAAGCAAGTTGAGAGGAACCCAGCACGATGGGGATCTCCACGATCATCCTTGAAATATGTCTTTTGTGGGGTCAAGTTCTCTCTGCAGGTATTATGTCTAATTATTGTATTCATTAATTGCACTCCCACAAACCTAAATCCTGGCAAATCTGATCTAACTGTTCCTCCGCACTGGAGTTTTGTATTGGGCAGGAGGTGGTTCTTTGCTGGTAATTGTAAATGTTCACCAATGTTTGGAAGGAATGCTTCTTTTTTGTTTTGTCTCTGGGTGAGAAATATATATGTTAGAACAAGCCAATCACATCAATGTCAGAGAGTCATTCAGTGAAGAAAATGACCTGGTGGACTTAGAAATGTCCCCAACGTTAAGGAAGGGAATACGTGTGCTACTAAGAGGCCCTAATACTTTATTATAATGTGTTGAGCACAGGGTTTGTATGCTATGAAAATGGGAAGAAAAGATTCTCCTGTAAATGCTCCTATGTGCCTTCTCTCTGCAGGTGCGCCTGGCATAAAGACCAATATTTGTTGAGCAAATCAGGTCAAGTATTTGCACAGACAACATCTTTACGATTCCAAGTCTGTGTCTGTCACTTACCGCCTAGGCCAGGACTCAAAGCTGTGTCACTCAAGCATGGCTTTGCCTCTCATGTGGGAGACATGAAAGAACCATTGAAAAATTGTTGTGATTATTGAATCTCAGGGTTTTTTTTTTTTCTCTAAACCAAGGTGCCATGTAAAAGGATGATCCCCTGTGTACCTGTTCTCTCCTGGTCTCTGACTCTCTTTATTTGCCTCCCTGTCTGCCCCTCTCTGTCTCTTTGTCTTTCTGTCTCTGCCTTCTCTTTGTCTCTCGGTCTTTTCTTCTTTATCTCGTTCTGCCTCTGTCCTTGTCTCCATGTCTGTCTCTCTAGGTCACCCTCTCTCTGTATCCGTCTGACTGTTTATCTCATCTCTCTGACATCCATCATCTCCTTATCCTCTCCCTCCATTCTCCCTCTGCTTTTTTCTTCTTTGTTCTTTCTCCTCCGTCCTCTCTTCTTTTCTTCATTTTCTTCCCTTTTCCTCCTTCACCCTCTTCTCATATTTTTCTTTGGTGTTGCTTTTTGCTAGATTCATGAATTCCAGGAGACAAGGGAAAAATCATCTAAGTTCCATATAACTTCTTGAACTATCACTCTCCCCTGGGCTTGGTAACGGACTCTCTGAAGATGAAAGTTCATTTGGGAGACAGCTGTCATGAAAGCAGCACCCCAAAGCCCAGGCCTTGGGGTGTGGTACAGTTAGTGCCCGTGTGTGGGGAGATGTGTGACAGCTGACTGAGGACACTACCACTCCTTCCTGTTAGGAGAGCCTCAGGGTCCAGAGTGGGGCAGCCTGGGACCTAGACAGACCATCTGCTTCCATGTGCTTTAGAGAGTGCGTGGAAGGGAGGTAGGACCTCGCCCCAGCTTTTGACAACACACTGCAGTGGCTCTGAACAATAACATGGCGGTCATATTAGTCTTGGAGGTCAAAAGACATCAGTGCTCTGGGACCGAGGGAGTTGTCACGTTTTCATGATGCTGTATGTCTGCTTACAGGCAGCCATGCACATGCGCATGCATGCCTGTATCTGCCGTTTGGAGGTGGGGACCCACTCTACCCTGTGTGCCTCTTTTCTCTAAATCTTATTTACAACCCCAAAGTTAGGTACTATTACCTCCACATTTCAGATGGGGAGACAGGCTCAGAAGGTTATATGGCTTGTCAAGGACAGCAGCTGGTAGGCTGCTGGGGTAGGACTTGGACCTGGAATGAGGGCCACCTGTATTTGGGCACCACTTGTGACCAGGAGCCGCCACCCCCCGCCCCGTCCCTGGCAGGGCCCAGAGGAGATGAATGGCTCCACAGGCCCTCTTCTCAGTCCTCTCTGCACAAACTCTTGAGAAAGTCAGGGTGGTGGGCAGGAGCGGCCGTGGCACGACTGCCGGTTTCAGTGATGTCCTTGACTCTGCCGCTGGCCAGCTGTGGAGCTGCTGCAAGCCTCAGTTTACTCATTTGCAAATGGGATTATGTTTGCTGTGCTTCATAGGGTTGTGAAGGATGGAGGTTACCTAGGCAGTGACTGGCAAATGGAGCCTCAGAACTGACAGCGTTCCTAGTCTAGGCATGTTCCTAATGTTTTATCCAAATGTAACTTCCTAAATGTGACGTAGACCTTGGACTGGCTCCTGGAAAAGGAGAAACTGGAGAAATCCAAATAAAGTCTAGTTTAGTAGCAGGAGCATACCACTGCTGGTTTGCTAGTTGTGACAAATAGACCAAGAAAATATAAGATGTCGATATTAGGGGAAATTGGGTAAGGGTTATATGGGAACTCTGTAGCATCTCTGGTACTTTTCTTTAAATTTGAAATTAGTCCAAAAAATTTTTAAACTTTACTTCCTTTGGTCCCATTTGGTCCCATTTCTTTTGATCCCATTTCTTCAAGGCCAATGTTTTGCAAAATGAGAAAATAATAATTGCTTCTAAACTCATTTCTGGCAGATTGCTGATCTTTTCACTTAGTCTTTCCACAATTTAGATTTAGGGCTGGATTTATGGCCATCATTAATGACTTGAAAAGAAGAAGAAAAATTATTAGAGGGAGTTTTAAACATTATGAGGACATTTCTAATGTGGTTGGTGTTTGGAGGGGAGAAGACTTTCCTGAGTCAAGTAACCAGCCACACAGATGTCTAATTATTCTCTGGCACGGCGCTTCTTTCTTTAACTAGTCTTTACTGTGCAAACACACCACTGGGCATTGTGAAACTCATCTGGTGCAGCTACCACGTGCCGTGGAAGGAGGAAGAAGCCTGAGGCTGCACCTTGGAACCAAGTCCAAGCATTGCAGCCTGGTGTCCAGGAACCTCCAGCAGCTTTGTGTGCCCCACACCCTGTTTGGCAACACCTTCGGGTGTTTAGTCCTCCACATGTTTCTCACTGTTTTCTACCTCCTGGGTTTATTCATTCTTCTGTTTGCTGGGAGAGCTTACACTTCACTGTGTCTTACTACTAACAACCTGTGCTCCCCGCTCCAATAGCGCCTCCTCTGGCCACATCCATTTCAGCCTTGCTGGTTCTGCTATCTGCAAGTTTCCTTATAGCCTTCCTCTTCCCAGCCTTCATCTGGCCCAATCTAACCAGTCTTTTTAAATTCCACGGACATTGTCTCATTTGGAAATCTTTCCCTGACATATGCTCAACACGCTTAAGGCTCACCGTACATATACAGAGAGAGAGGGAGAGAGAGAGGGAGAGAATCACTTGTACACACTTGTACACACAGACAGATACACACATGAACACAGACACAGATACACAAAGATCAGCATGATATACATACACACATAGATACATACATAGACATACAGAAAAATGCACACACAGACAGGTACATACAGGCACACACACAGATACCCGTACACATGTAAAAGCATACATGTCACGTACACAGAGACACATGCATATATAAATGCTTACACATAATTACAGACTCACAAAGATAGAGATGGATACAAGCATAGACACGTGAAGACAAAGAGACAGATAACTTCACGGACACACAGGCACACACACTGCCGCTCACTCTCCCATAGAAGCTAGCCTGGCACTTGTGCTTGTGCAAGGCTCTCTGGGGATGTTTCTAGGATCCTGCTATGCATGGTCTAAGGACCAGCCCTTGCTCGTTTAGTGCTCATCTGGGCACCTTGCACCACCAAGAACCCAACAGATGCCTGGCTCACACCACCACCACAACAAGAAGCCTAGGTGCTCCTGTGCCAGGTGTTGGCATGGCAGGACAGAGCTGCGACCATGAGCTGCCTCAGCCTCCTGACTGATCCTGAGCAGTATTGCTATTTCCTTATATATACTTTTGGGGGCCTAAACGTTATCAGGAAAACTATTAACCACACACTTGTCATTGAGAATATTTGTCTCTCAGTATCCACAGGGGTTCGGTTCCAAGAAGATCCTCAGATGTTCAAGTCCCTTACATATAACGGAGTAGTATTTGTTTATAACTTACACCCATTCTCCCTGTATTATTGTTCTAGAACCTTTTCTTTCTTGACAAATTACAATGGAATTTCATTGTTTCATTGTTTTAAATTGGCTTTTGGGGGAGGCAGCAGGGCAGATATGTGTAACACACCTGCTTGGGGTCCACACGACTGACCTCAGATACGAGCTGTTGATCTATGCACAGTTGCTGTGTCTCTGCTTCAGTCACCTATATTGCTTCCCAGGTGGGTTTCTTGCCAGGATTCCTGTGAGTGAAACATGAACACATATGATTTTTCTCTTTATTTCTTCACAGGTGTTACTGAATCAGATGTTCTCATATCTGGTAAGTACTTTGAAATGAATTTCCTATATTAGCCTAGAATTTATTTTTTCACTCTCTACAGTTATTAATGTCTTAAGAATAAATACTAAGCTTTAATGAATGGTATGGGGACTTCATAAAAGGCACATAAAAGTATGATTTGTGTCCCTTCTAGACATGCAAAAGCAATAGAAACTTCTCCCATGCACAGCATAAATGAACCATGTGGTAATACAGTTCTGTTCTCCCTAAATGTTATTTTGTCCCCGCCTCAAAATTCAGTGCATATCTCAATCAAATAGAAAGCAGTTCTTTGGGATTCACCTCCCTCCCTCGACAGAGCCTGATTTGAAGGCCTGAGTTGGGACTCAAGAAGCTGCATTCCACACATAAGGACGTTCTCCCCACTGTACTTTGGGAAACCTTTCTGCCTGACCCAGCTTTGAAGGAGACTATGATGTTCCCAGTGTAGTTATAGGAGCCTCTGCTAAGAATTTCCAAAGAAAGTGACAGAGGATATGTGTATATATTTTAAATATTGCCTATTTTTGTTCAGAATGTTTAAACATATTGAGCCCTTCGTCTAAAACCGACTTAATCTGCTGTTGCAAAAATTCACTTTAAGCAAGAATTATTAGAGCACACAAACTCATGGTTTAACTACAGCACCCCCTGGCAGGATTGCGAGGGGAAACCGAAGTCAGTTTCTGCAACATGTAGATCATTTCTGAACATCTTTCCTAACGTGAATTTGCTTTCTATCTAGGTTCAGAGGCCCCACACTCTACAGGCTTTGGTAAGACTTGTTTTCCCATCTACTCTTCCTTTCAGGGTCTCGATTATTGGCTTGGACAGTCAGATCTGCTGCTGTTGTTAGCCAGTGGAAGCCGAGTGCACCCTGGGCCACAGAACAAATGCTTGGCTTTAAAATTCAGGGATGGACTGGGGTTGACAGATGTGGGTTCCAAGCCCTTGGGCATATCCGAGATGCACACTCAGCCGATCCCATTTGTCATTGTCCTTCTTTCCTCTCTCTGCCTCTCAACAATTTGGTTGAGAAGGGGTAGCCGAAAACAGTCAGTGCTTCTTCTTCTATGCAGTAAGGACAATTATCTTAAAGGTAAATGACATCTGGCAGGATATAAAATTTTCAGTATTGCCTGGCACATAATAAATGCTCAACTAGTATGTATAATAAGTGCTATTTTCATGAAATCTTCCCAAGTGCACTTTGAGGTAGGTATCACTATGCCCATTTTGCAGATGGAGAAGTTAGGGCACAGTTAGGTAATTGGTCAGTACTTCATTGTATAACGTCACATGCGTGGTAAGTGGTAGGGCAGAGATTTGAACCCAAGACTGGTCCTCCTGATTCTGGTTCTTCATAATAAATGAGCCCATCCATCTCCCACTTTTTCTACTGCGAGTATGTAGACCTCTGTGCCCAAGATTGATATGTCAGGGTCACCCAGGACAACTAACTTGCCAATTGGTCCCTTGATCTGTTGAGGCCACTCATTTCCCTTCTAGGATATGCCTTGAGAGATGCAGATGTAGCCTGGGAGGGACTTGAGAAGCAGCTCTTTTTTTTTTTTTTTTTTGTACCGGGGATCAAACTCAGGTCCTTGCGCTTTCGAGGCAGGTGGCGAAAGCTTTTTGAGTGATACCTTCCCCCCACCCCCACCCCCGCAGGGGCTAGGCTAAGGCAAGAATATGAACTCTTCTGGAGGGACATTCATGAGAGTAACCAGAAGGGGGCAGCAAGGAGTCAACAGGCCCCAAATAGACTTTGAAATGCTCTGAAAATGGTCCCTTAGTCTTTCTTTCCTCTTTCCTGGGCTTTTCCACATTCTACTCCCACTCCAAACCAATAACAAGCACCTGCCTACCTTGCAGCCCATTCCAATTTGGCACTTTTTGGTGACAGATTTCTCATAAAACCACCCAGCATCTGGCTCCTGCTGTCGGGACTCTGGGCTTGATCCTCAAACCTGCTCTCTATTTCCTTGCCTAACCAGTGTAACTTTTCATTATGGGTGACTGAGTGGCATCATGCCAGGCAGCAGCATGGTGCCCACCGGCTCCTTTACTATGGTCATCTTTACCGTGGGAGAAGAACCTGAAAGTGTAGGTTGAGGACCCCTGTTGGCCAAATGCCTGCATATACTTGATCTTGATGGGAGTGGAGAGTACATTGAAGTGCTTTGAGCAGGGCAGTGACTTGAATATACTTGTAGTTTGTGAAGATAAAACTTGGGGGCTGTCTGGGGAGACAGATGACAGGAAGAGGCACAAAGCAAGCACTTCACGAATGTGGTTGGATCAGTGATGGTGAATGGATTCCAGAAGCGGGGAGTAGAGGCAGACAGATCAACTGGGAGGGCCCTAAGTAGGGTGGGTTCAAGAGAATGAAGGTGTAACCTGGTGAAAGAGCAGTGGATATAAAAAAGGGTATCCTTGGTGATAAGTTGGATGTAGAGGAAAGAGGAGGAATCAAATGTGATGCGCAAATTTCCAACGAAGTTGGTTTGGAGCAGACTGCATCATCCCTCTGAATGGAGGAGAAAGACTGCTGAATTCCAGATGGTAGGATGGGAGCTCCCAGAAGCCAATGAAATGTTGGTCTAGAACTCAGGGCTGGGACTGTCAGGGCTGACTCAGGACCAGAGAGACAGCTTTGGGGTCCTCTGTCTAGAACGTTCTCAGAGTACAAGAACTTTTCCAGGTGCGGATGACAGTGAGAAGAAGAGGGGAAAGACGTAATATTTAAGGTCCCGAGGAGGGAGAATCAGTGAAGAGGAGGGCATGGGGTGCCCAGAGGAGAAGGGGGAGCATGGGACAGTGTAAGCCAAGGGGGCAGAGAGCACCTAGACCACAGCTCTCTGCCGTGTTGATGCAGGTTTGCCCCTGAGGCTGGTGAATGGCAGTGACTGGTGCCAGGGCCGAGTGGAGGTCCTGTACCAAGGCTACTGGGGCACCGTGTGTGATGACAGCTGGAACACCCAGGATGCAGATGTCGTTTGTCGGCAGCTCGGCTGTGGCCATTCTGTGTCGGCCCCAGGCGGGGCTCAGTTTGGTCAGGGATCGGGGAACATTCTCTTGGGTGCAGTGTACTGCTCAGGATGGGAGCCCGACCTGTCGAGCTGCCGCCACGATGGCTGGTACAACCATGATTGTGGCCACAAGGAAGACGCTGGAGTCGTGTGCTCAGGTAGTGCAGCTGTCACCTCTTGCTCTTGTGCGTGCGCGTTGAGGCAGTATCACGGTGCGTGTATGTGCATGCATGTGTGCATGTTTCCTTCTCTGCCGTGAGTCATGCCTTGTTTGGCGTTGGAAGACCAGTATTAGTGTCCCTTTTCACACATAAAGATGTCAAGGCTCAGAGAGGGTAAGGGGACTGCCTGTTGTCCAAAGCTGGGAAGTGATGGAGCCAGGTTTCAGTCTGAATCTCCCCCGAGCTTGTCGATGCCATCAGTCAGTAGATTGGCCCTGATGAACAGCAGCACGACCTTCCCTGACCCAAGGGACAGCTTCTCCTTTTTAAAGGGGATGCTGTGGGTGGGGCAACAGTCGGTCCTTAGCACTTAAATGTACCCAAGATCGCATTGGGGAGTAGCCAATACGTTCTCTGTGTAAGTTGTTCACTGGCATCTGCCCTGCATCCTGGACTCTGCAGTGTCACCATGTATAGGATGTGACTATGGTGATCCAACCCCCACTTACGAATGGACATTCTGAAGGAGCACGGTTCTCCAAGTGGCTACTTCGTAAGTGGGTTTATTTTGGCATTCTAGAATGTACCTCTGAAAACCACCTTTCTTCCTGGTTGGGGCCACTTTCTCAAGAATACCTTAGTGATGGCAAATATTTGTTAGAGTGTTTGAGCTATAGGAATGCCCGGATTTCAGTTGAAGTCCAATACTGTGGCTAGGTTGGGACTGTTAATGAACTGGGTGATGTTTTGGCAGAAGAGGAGGTGGAGGAGGATGAGATGAGCAAAAGATGTTCGTGGTAGAAGCCTAGCCAGCAAAGAGAGTGAGAAAGTTGTCTGGTTTCACAAGGAAAAAATCATAGCCTTTTCGTAGTGAAGGAGGCCTGCAGGATGCATTCAGCCCTTGCTTCCAAAGAGGCAGAGGACTACCCCACCTCAACAGTCAATGACCTCTTCCTTTCTCCACTCTGCAGATTCTTTGGCTTTCTCTGAGTCAAGCACTGAGAGAGCTCGACAAGGTAGGATCTGTTATGTGGGATTCCTGTAGGCTGACTGTCCCCACACACCCATATAGGCTCATCTCTGATCCTGAAGAAGTGCAAGAGGGCATAGGATGTGGGGTGCTCAACTCCAAAGGGGACTTGTCTGAATAGATTCTCAGGCTTACAAGGGATCTCTTTTGTGGATCGTGGATCCTCAGTGCGGGGAGGAACCAACCTGAAGAGGCATCTCCAAGGAGCTTTAAGGTGGAGCCTAGTGTCTTGTCTGTAGAGGTCTTGCTGCCCATACTCCTTTCCCTGTGGTCCTAACCCATCGATGCTGACTCTTGGCCAGATTGGGGTGCTGCATCTCAAGAGGCTTAAGTCGCCAGTCTGCTGGCACAGCATCCTTGCTCATTCCTTTTCCCTGAACCCATGTCAAGCTACCTTGGAAATCAAGACACCTCAGTCTGTGGGCATCAGAAGTCTTCTACTTCCCCCTGAGGACCGAGTAGAGGTGTACCAGGGTTCCTGGGGCACCGTGTGTGATGACAGCTGGCCAGTGTGGCCAATGTGGTCTGCAGGCACACTGCTCACACTGGCCACAGGAAATGCCTGGTTTGGGCAGGGCTCAGAGCTGATTGTCCTGGATGATGTGGCCTGCTCTGAAGTGAATCCCACCTGTGGAGCTGCCCCCACAGAGGATGGCTCTCCCATAACTGTGGACACTGTGAGAATGCTGGAGTTGTCTGCTCAGGCGGGCCCCTAAGAACACTGGGACTCTTACATTATGAATGGGCTCTGGTCATCTTTCTGGCCCTGCTCCCAGAACTTTCTGTGTGTATCCATGGCTTGTGGGTGTGGAAGCTGCTGCTCTCCCCTTCAACAGACAGATGGTGCCTGTAGGTGTTGGGAGGCTGATCTAGGCTCGGCCCTGGGAGAGAAGCTCTCAGCCTTGAACTGGGCCCTCAGGCTGTAAGTGGTACTGGCCTCACATCTGACCTGGAGAGGCAGAGCTGCAGTGGGCTCAGTACCTCCTTACTGGCTTGCTCACACTGTGTCTCCCCATGTGACAGCCCCTGACTCATTGACCATCCATACTTTGTCCCAGTGGTCACAAGGGGACAGTTGATTTTGGTGTCACTATTATTGGCTCATCCTTTCTGGCCAAATGATTCCCATCCCTACAGGCTGGTAGAACCTACAGAAGAGTGTAATCCTGTTCCTAATTAACAGTTTGCCATGGAAATTCTGGATTGTGTCACAGTATGCAAAATGGGAGGTCAGGATAGGAGCTATCTTAATCAGTTTCCTCATCTCTGAGACGTATTACCTGACACTCACAACTTAAAAGTGGAGAGGCTTATTTTGGCTCACGTTTTAGAAATTTCAGTCCATTTTCATCAGGCTAAAACACAAAACAGCATGGTGGAAGGTACTGCCACACAGGAAAGCTGCTGGTGTTATGGTGGCCTGGAAGAAGATGGCACAGTTTAATGACTGCGTGTCTGGTTAAAGGAGTTCTGATATGGCCCTCCAGCCTCTTCTGTGTGAGCAGATCATGTCTACTTTTACCAGGGATCTTAGAACTTGTCCTGTCAAAGATGCCTTATTCCCTCCCTGTTGCTCAGGCTCCCGTCAGGGTGTCCATTTCTGCCTTCCACTTTGCTAATGTGCAAATGTGGATGCATGCAGATGTGTATGTGATGGGAGTAGAGAGGACACTGTTTTCTTTTAACACTCCTCAAAACATTCTGCGATTCTGCAGGTCTCATCTACACAAAAAGGAGGCACAGACAATGGTGTGGGGAAGAGAGACATTAATGTTTCTGTTGCTTTTAAAATTCTGATTCTGCTCTGGTCCATTCCCAGATGCCTTTGGCTCTAACTGCCATGGTCTGGGAAATATTTGGATAAGAGGGCTTGGGTCAGCAGAAGGAAGCGCAGAGGTTTGGCAACAGAGAAGACAACATTTCACACTGAGACAGAAGACCTATATTATCTGAACCAGGGCGTTTTGGCTATGCATGAACTTTTCAGCTCCGGGGCCATTTTCTAGGAGTGAGAGGGTACCATAGTCTTCCTTTGTATTTAAAACTTCAGGAGAGAGTATAGGCACTGGGGAGTTGTCTGCACATCTACTATATAGCCCTGCCATCTTCCATGGAAACAGATTAAAATGTAGAAACATTGTGTGGTTTTCAGGAACAGATTCTGGTTTGTCCCTGAGGCTGGTGAACGGAGGGCACCGCTGTCAGGGTCGCGTGGAGGTCCTGTACCAGGGCTCCTGGGGCACCGTGTGTGATGACAGCTGGGACACCAACGATGCCAACGTGGTGTGCAGACAGCTGGGCTGTGGCTGGGCCAGGTCTGCTCCAGGAAATGCCCGGTTTGGTCAGGGTTCAGGACCAATTGTCCTAGACGACGTGGCCTGCTCAGGTCATGAGTCCTACCTGTGGAACTGTCCCCACCGTGGCTGGCTCTCCCACAACTGTGGACACCATGAGGATGCAGCAGTCATCTGCTCAGGTGAGCGCCTGTGACACCGGGATCTTCCTCCCTGAATGGGCTTCCACCAGGGCACCTGGCTCTGCACTCAGAACTTCACTTTCTCATCGATCATCACTGGGCTCCATGGTGGGTTGTGGTGTTTCCAGACCAAGCACCAGTCCCTTCAGGTCCCCAGTGCAGCTCCTCCTGCTCATGCAGTGGCCCTGCACTTTCTTCATGGCAGCTGACTCTGCAGGTCAATGCCACGCCCTCTAGTGAGAGAAGGAGCCTGCTCAGTCAATGTCCTGCTACAGATAGGGTCCCAATATTGATTTGGAGGTAACTGTGCTCTCCCGTGAATATTCCACAGCTGTACCATCCAGAAGGCAGGGATAGTTTGTGTTTTATGTTGCAGGGGGATAGGTCCATTGGCTTCCAATGCCAAGTAGCCCCTGGCATTATTTGTTCACATCTTTGTACATGTGATTCATACATTTCCTCTATCTCCTTGATGTTGTCATTTGAAGACTCCATGCAGTGAATAAAGATAGGGTTCACTTCTTATCACACAGGGAAGGAGGGATGTAAGGTAAGGTGTGAGCATGACAGAACGGAGGGCAGAAGCTTGCAATGAGACAGCTGTGGTGGAGCACTCTGGAGCATCACAGCAGGAGGGATCTCTGGAACTCAGATAGGATATCAGGATTGTCAGTGTGAGGGTGGATTGTCAGTGTGTTCACCTGCTCATTGCCTAGGAAAGCTTGACCTGCTTTCCTGTGTGTTAGCAAAGGCAGCCGAGGCATGGCCATGATTTCCCACCTGTGGGGAGTGAGCTTGAGGCACTGAGGTGTAGGCCACAGAGGAGGGGACTGGACGGAGCTCCCTGGAAGATGGAAAGATGGAGGAGGATGGATTCAGGCAGGATTCAGGCAGAGGCCTGTGCAGAGCTCAGACAGTGGATACATGGAGCCTCTTGTCACCCGTGTGCTCTGTGTCTAACCTCCGTCTCTTTCCCGCAGATGCTAACCCTCCATCCACAACCATAACGGGTGAGTCTAGTGTGCTGAGGTGGGATGTCCCTGATCCTCTGCTTCACTCTAAGGTCTATTACTGCTCTTGGCAACATTATGAGACGTATGATTTCCCCTCTTTGTAAATGTGGCACCAGAAAGGTGTTTTTTGCCTGGATTTTGGATTCACAAGCAGCTTTTTCCATTGACTCATCTGAGTTTTCATGAAATTCTTTGATGACCCAGTTGGTATCTCTTCTAGTTCAGAACTGTAGGCTCATGTTCAATAAGCTTTGGTCTTTTTCTTCAGCTGCCATGACCACTCTGAGAGTTCTGTACATTGTCTAACCTTCTGCTGAAACTAATGTTAGTACAGGAGAGAGTCCTCAGCTCCTCACTCTCACAAACTCCCTTGGATTACACAGGGCAGGCTATCTGTATTGTAAGGACGGAGGTCTTGCCAGGTAGGTGGAGGGGGATAGAGAATTTTTTCATATTTATAAAATGAAATACTTGCTTTATCCCTGGCCCATTACTACCCTAGTTAACCATTTGTGCCCTGCTGTCAGAGTGTGGGCAGTGCTGTCTGCTGCACTAGACTGATCGTTGGCCAGTAATGTGTAGACACAAGTTGCCTCACTGAGAACAGAACTCCGCAGGCTGAAGAGCTGGAGAGGCCAGTCTCATCTCCCTGTTTGCTTATGAGCCACTCAGAGAAGCAGCCTTGAGAAGATATTTAGGTCCAGAGGGCATTGTAATGAGGCCTGCCTGGCAGAGGAATTTTGTTGCCCTATGCTTTTCCTGCAAGTCTAATTTGAGCCATGTTTTCTTGTTGCCATTTGCAGATGTATGGCCTATCCGCACCACACCTACTCCAGGAGGTAAGAATTCTCTCAAACATGTCTGGGGCTCCCTCCCACTTCTGGATAAAACCTGGCCTTGGAAATAAAAGAATGAGGTTGAGAGGCCCTACCTAAGCCATGTCTCTGTGGGCTGGATGAGTCCAAAGTCTTTGAAGGCCAAGTTGTTGGTCTGATATTGGGTGGATGGTGACCTTGCTTCAGAAGCGTCCTGATCCAGTGCTCAGGGAAGATCCTTATGCAGGTGATCGAGACAGACCCCAGAAGAAGGAAGGATTCTATCAAGGCCTCGGTTAATGCAGAGGTGGCAGATATTTGAGCCCTGCTTCTCCAAGAAGAACTATGTTCCCGTCCCTTGCTGAAAGAGCCCTGCCTTTCACAGAGTGTTGCTCAGGCAGTGACCGAGCTCTTAGGGTTTGCTGACGGTGACATTTTGATCAGTTGGCACTCTAAAGAGCGTCACATTTTTTGACCCCACTGTGTTTCTGGTGGGCTTTCCAGTCCCAACCTGCGCCACGCCTGAAGAGTGAGAATCTTGGGAGCAGGCAAAGTCTATGCTGACATTTGCCTGGTGTTATCCCCTTGGTACCTGAATCTTGACTTCAGTGAGAGGTTAGCGTGAGTGTGGTCCAGCTGAACCACAGTGACAAGGCTGGAGTTGTGTAGAGTAACTTTAATGGAGACTGCCATGACAGTGTGCTGGCCTCCAGCCCTGCTCTGAGAGATGAGAGATAGGAGCTACAGCCACAGGTCAGTGACTCCAAAACCTGAAGAAGAGTCCTGATATGGGCTTCCAGCATCTTTTATGAGAGCAGAGGGTGCTGTGGGACATCTGTCTGAGCTCATCTTTGCCTCCCTTTTGCCCTGTCTCACACCAGAGGATCCATTTCTGCCTTCTGCTTCACTGATGTGCAGTGTGTGTGCATGTGTGGATGCAAGTCCATGCTTATGCAGGTGCCCTCCTGTGCAGTAGGGGTGGAGGTGACTCTGCTTCCTTGTAATACTCCCTGAAACACCCTGGCATTCTGCAGTCTCATCAATACACGGAGGAGGCACACACACTGATGTGGGAAGGAGAGAGATGGATGGTTCTGATGCCTTAGTTACCAGTAATCTCGATCCTGTCATGGAGCACTCTCTGTTGTCTTTGGCTTCAACTATCAGAGGCTGGGCAGTGATTCTGGACATGAGGTCTTGGGTCAGCAGAAGGACGTGCAGAGCCTTTGAAAGTGGGAAGATCCCAGACTGGAGAAACAGATGCTCAGGCTGATCTCCATCAGAGCCCTTGTGCTCTGCATGAACTCATGGTGACAACTGCCCCTGTCTAGCAAGGGAGGGGGTCACTTGCTTTTTCCTTGGGCCTTTAACCTGCGTGAGAAAGTTGGATCCTGGGAAGGAGTCTTGGCTTCATAGCCACAACATGGCCTTGATGTTCTTCACAGGAAGGGAATCAAAATTAAAATTATGTGTTCTGCCTAGGAAACGCTACTGGTTTTTCCCTGAGGCTGGTGAACGGAGGGCACCGCTGTCAGGGTCGCGTGGAGGTCCTGTACCAGGGCTCCTGGGGCACCGTGTGTGATGACAGCTGGGACACCAACGATGCCAACGTGGTGTGCAGACAGCTGGGCTGTGGCTGGGCCAGGTCTGCTCCAGGAAATGCCCGGTTTGGTCAGGGTTCAGGACCAATTGTCCTAGATGACGTGGCCTGCTCAGGTCATGAGTCCTACCTGTGGAACTGTCCCCACCGTGGCTGGCTCTCCCACAACTGTGGACACCATGAGGATGCAGCAGTCATCTGCTCAGGTGACGATACAATCGCTCTCTATTTTACTGGGTGCTTTTCCTTCAGAAGGGGTCCTCCGCCCCAGCACGCTCTCACTCTGGGCCTCACTGTGGCATGGGCATTCTGTCAACTGCAGAGGCAAATCTCTGCTGTCTCTAAGCTTGGCTGTATTGCGGGGCTTCCCTAGGTTTGTCCCTATAGCAAAGGAGAGTTTAATGCAATCTAAGGAGGTAAGTGCTAACTCCCCTTCCACTGCCTCTCAGGAAGTGTTTCCAAGTGATGAAGGGGAATGGCCTCAACATTTGTCTTGCATATCATCCCAAGGGACTTGTTCCAGGAAGTCTGAGCCCTGAGACTCACTCATGTTTTCATTTCTTCCTTGCAGATGTACAAACTCCCTTTACAACAGTAGGTGAGTCTGCCTTTTCTTAAGAGAATAGACTTAAAGGATTTTACTTATTATAGTACCTCTAAAGATTTGGAAGGAAGAAGGGAGACAGATTAATAAACCAACCATTTCAAGCCAGGCATAGTGATGCACCCCTGTAATCCCACCCCTCAGGAGGCTGAGGCAGGAGAATTGCTATGAATTCAAGACCAGCCTGGGCTATATGGTGGGTTCAAGACCAGCCTGAACTACATAGTAAGACTGTCTCAAAAAACAAGTACATTAATTAATTAATTAACTAACAAGTATTCATGCTTTTCCATATAATTTCACAGTGCAAGTATGTTTTAAAAGCTCTCTTAAAAAGTGATATGGCTACTTTTTTGTGTCATTAAAACTTCCTTCGTATACTTTTCAATGCCTGCATTGTATTCTGTTATGCAGCTATGCCACAATTTAGGCTACATTTCTAGCCCTTTTATTTTTTATAGTTGAGACAGGGTCTCATTAAGATGCTAGCTTTCCTGGACTGGGCTCAAGCATGTCATCCTCTGCCTCAGCCTTCTTGAGTGCTGGGATAACAGTTGTGTGCCACCATACCCAGCTTGTTACTGCATCTTTGTTACCTAGCACTGTGCCTGCCAATCAGGAAATACTTGTTGAAAGAATGAATACATAATTACTATTGTATTTTGACAAACATTCTGGAAACACACATACGTACAATAGAACATGTCTTATATCTCATAACATTAATTTTCACTTCAGAGAATATAATAAATACTTTTTCTGTGGCCTTAAAGTTAGTATTTTGATGGCATTAAAATTATTTCTATACTGTAAGGATTAACACCTGCACAGTTTTCCATTATATGGTTGTATCATAATTTAGTTAAACATTTCCTAATTGTAGGACAAAAGAAATAGGTTATATAATTAAGCATCCAGTTATATAATTAAGTCATGTTATAAAGTATAAAGGATGAAGCCATGAAGATTCTTACTGTAAAGATGATTGCCTGTCATGAATTTCTTGAAGACAATGGGGTCATCTCCCTCTCTCTCCTTTATAGTACCCTTTGTGAATTGTGGTGGCGTCTTATACAATGCCAGTGGGACATTCTCCAGCCCATCCTACCCTGGATACTATCCCAACAATGCCCTGTGTGTGTGGCAAATAGAAGTGCGCTCCGATTATCGCATAGACCTGGGATTCTACGACCTGCAGTAAGTCTCACCAGATCACCCTGTGAAGAGTGGGTCTTCCATGGCATACCTGGTGTTGTAGCTGGTGTTTTCACTCTTGTGTACTATGCACAAGCAACAGCAATGTTTTGATCTCTACTGCGGGGGGTGGTGGCAGGGCAGCCCTTTGGTCTGTTGTTAATTACACATGTAATCAGCAACATCACTTGTAAATGTCCAAATTATCTATAAAATGGAGGAACCATAGTAACTGCAAGGTTGACTTGGATATATATTTTCTATACAGGTTGGAGGGGTATAGTCCTTGTATAGATTATGTTGAAATCTTCGATGGATCACTGAATAGCAATAATTCGCTAGGGAGGATCTGTAACGGCAGCGGGCAAATATTCACATCTTCTAGCAACCGAATGACCATTCAATTCCGAAGTGATGTCAGTTTCCAAAACACTGGCTTTTTGGCTTGGTATAACTCCTTTCCAAGAGGTAAGTGTACACTAGCCCTGACCAGTGAGGCTTGGAGGACTTAGCCAGCCTCTCGTGAATTCACTGTGGTTCCCAGGGAAATCAAAGAGGTGTTTTGGTGATACTTTGTCCATTCTCCCTATTTTACAGCTGACCTATGTGAACCGCAGGAGGGTTAGGTCTTTGGGCAAAGAAGTCAAATATACAGAATAGGGGACACATCTGGCCTTGGGTCTGCTACCAAATCCCTGGGGATTTGGGGACTCTCACTGCTGAGCCAGCAGTCCCCAACTGGAGGACAGGGGTCCTAGCTCTGTGATGTCTGGCGCCCTTTCCAGCTTTACATGGGTCCAGTGTTTCTGCTCTTATGTTTAGACGCTTCTGTTTGGAAACTCTGGCATGGGGAAAGGCCTCTGGAGTATTGGGCCTTTGAGATATGTTGTGGGACATGGTCATCATCTTCTGCTGCATGTATCTTTTAGATGGCAGCTTGAGATTGGTCAATGGAAACTCCTCCTGTGCGGGGCGTGTGGAAGTTTACCATGACGGCTGGTGGGGGACTGTTTATGATGACTCCTGGGGCATACAGGATGCACAGGTGGTCTGCAGACAGCTGGGCTGTGGAGATGCATTTCAAGCCACAACAAATGCCTACTTTCACCCTGGCTCTGGCCCTATCACCCTGGGATGATGTGGAATGCTTGGGGATAGAAACCACTCTCTGGCAGTGCCAGAGCTGAGACTGGTTCTCCCATAACTGTGGCCGCTCTGAAGATGCTGGTGTCATCTGTACAGGCGTGGCAAGGTGTCACGAAAGTTCCATTTCCCTGTAACCCATTATAAAGTGAAAGTTTGAGGCCAGTGTCCGCTGGTGTCTATGGCTCAGACCTAGAGGTGGGAATGGTAGAAACTTTTCAGCTGGTGCCCTTGGCCTTCCACTTCAGAAGACCATGCATGAGCCACTTTATCTTTGACCAGTTTTGGGGTCCTGAGGGTATCATGCTGGCTATATGACTTTTAGCAATGATTCAACATCTCTAATCTTCACTTTCCTCATTCATTAATGGGCATGATCGTGCTAGCACTTGCTTCCAATGGCAATTGGTATGATCTTAGAACTATTCTGGGCAAGTAAAAAATGATGGTGGTTGTGACCACCAGCTGTGATGCTGATGACCTGCAAATAATTATGGGGCTGTGAAAGCAGCTGGGAAGCCCACCTAAGCCTCCTCCCAATCACAATAACTCGATGGGCCACAGTGTACTCATCCTTAGGGTCAGATTATGAGTCACTGGATGTGTCCCTGCTCCATGCTGACCACTCCTCCTAGTCAATTTTGTAACCTATGTACTTCTTCTGTCTAATTTTAGGAAACTACTCATCAACAGCAAGTAAGTACCTGTGATTTGCATCTTACTTTCTAGGCCTCCATGTCTCTCAGCTGTTGCTGACTAGACTTTGTGGGATATGTTGGTCACCTCCCAAGGGTTTGCCTGTCATGTCTTCCTGGCAGGCTGCATCCCCTGCACTGGCTGTCTTAACCCTGGTAGGCCACAGGACACTTTGCCCCTGTGGTTAGTGTCTTGGCTGATTAGGATTCAGATCTCCAGTTAGTCCCCAGGAGAGGCCTGCCACCTGTATGACCTATCTGTCCCTTCCCTGACACCAGACCCTGTCTAGGAGAGGCCAAATAGAGCTTGCTTCATCATAGAGTATGTGCCATAATGGGCAACAGTCCCTCCTCATCTGCTCCTCAGTCCAGCCTGCTACTCTCAGCACACTTCTGGCTCCTTGGTTCCTTCCTCTCCATCACCACCCTTGATGCCTCTCACTTCTTGCTTCCTGCAGCAGCAATTTCAGGTCCATCCCCTCCCGTCTTTCTCCACAAAGCAGCCAGGGGGTGTCTTTGTAAAATGTGGGTGTCACTTCTGCCCAATTGTTAGTTCCAGCCTCAGCCTTCAAAGGCTTTGAGGCCTCAGGGCCTTCCACAATTCCCTTCCCTTGGTTTGTGCCTTCCTTGCCATCCACATGCAAGTCCCCAGGTCTCTCATGCTGGGCCCCTTTGCATGTGCTGTTCCTGCTGCCTGGAATACCTTCCTCCCTCTGCCAGTTCCCCAGGTTCCTGCCCTCTGTTCCCCACAAAGTCTGGACCAGGAGCCAAACCACTGGCTCCCATCCCAGGGCTTTCCTTTATCTTATTTACATTTCAAGACACATCATCCTCTCCTCCACCTGTGACATTCCTGAGTCACCCCCCGCCCCCCGAAACACAGGGCTGGCATCGTGTCTGGCACAGATAATCCAGCACTCAGCAACTGCATTGACGATACCAAAAAACTGATCATGATTTTTCTTTGTCAACAGCTGCTTTCCCCATCACCAGCCGTCCAAACAGTAAGTTCTGAACTCCCTGAAAAGCCTGTGGCAGAGATGCTTGAATATCCCCTTCCCTCTCCCTCAATGACGAGGACACTGTGGAGGGCTGATGGGAATGGGTAGGAGAAAACTTATCTAAGCATAGCCTCCCCAGGAGGCTGTCTCCCTGACCCTTGGTGGATGGTCCCGGTTCAGGGCACCTCTCATTGTGTCCCTGCCTTGGAGACTGTGTAAAAAATTTTCTCACATTACTGTGCAGTCAGCAGCATTTCCATTTTGTCCTTACAGCAAATTATTCCTGCGGAGGTTTCCTGTCCCAATCATCAGGGCGCTTTTCAAGCCCGTTCTACCCTGGGAACTATCCCAACAACGCCAGATGTGTGTGGGACATTGAAGTTCCAAACAACAACCTTGTCACTATCATCTTCACAGATGTCCAGTGAGTATGTGGATGCAAAGCAGAATGCATCAGGGACCCCATGGACATTTCGAAAGAGAAGACAGGGTACTTAGAAATTCAAGGGTGATGTTTGTCTAGGTGCTATTTTAAATGATGGGTTTCATTTTTGACTTAGCCTAGCAACAGTTTATGGGGAGTGGTAATAGATTGGGGATACAGCCCTGGAGGGGACAAGGGCTCCGAGTTAAAGTTCCAGATCTTCCACTAATTTGCTGTAGGACCACAGGAAGTCATGCATCTTTCCTGAGCCTCAGTCAAAAGAGGGGAATGAAATATCTTCTCTCCTCACCTCCCTGACTGTTGAGAAAGTCAGTGCTATGTCATGACTACGTCAAAATACTTGGAAGATGTTACCCAGTGGGAGGGAGGGAATGTTGTTAGGAGCAATGATGGTCTTGGGGTAGTAATGTGAATAATCCTATTAACTACACCCATTTTGTTGAACTCTCCTTACCACGCCTTCCTTTCTCTCATGAGTTCCTGGGGTTTGGCAGATGGAGGATATTACTGCTGATCAGACATTAGGCTGTCTGTTCTTCCCCCAATTACAAGTGAAAATCATTGTTTTAAGCAGAGGACATCACCAAAAGTGCATTAATACTTGATCTATCCAAGAAGGGGGGTGGCAAGCTGAGAGTGAAGAGGCACCAGAGTTTTCTAGAATCCCAGACAAGGGGGTACCATACTTTCTTCTCTAACAACTATCACTGAACAAAACAGTTATCTCTCTTGATTTCTGTTTGCAGAAATCTTGGAAGTCTCTGCCTTGATCATTCAGTTGGGGTTTTCCAAAAGATACATGATTCAAATCTCCTTGTCACTGTGTTACAATGGCTGCACCTAAAGCTCCTGATTCCTAGGGGACAAAGCTGGCCTTGGCTACTCTTTGGCCAGCATATCAGTAACAGTGACCACCACCACTTTTGACATTATATAAAGCACTTCTCCATATGCTATTTATTGGAGCCTCAGAACTGCCCTCTTCCATATACACGGACAGAATCATTTCACCTTTGTCAATAAGAAACTTGAACACCAGAAGGTTATTTGATTTGCCTGATATTTATTTCTTCAATGATTTATTTATAACACTATGGACTCATGGATGTATATTTCACTCTCTAGAAGAACCAAGGTCTCTTTGATGAAAGAAAAATGGTTCAAGTCGAATATACATCCTTCCTTCAACAATTTAAAGGGTTTTTAGGAGAGGGCTATAGATTTTGTATGTGTGATTCCAGAAGGGTGGATGAGGACCCACGCATGGCAATCACGGGAAAACAAATCCCACTTGATTTAAGGAAATCTACTCTTCAATGATGAACTTTGTCAGCATTTGTAGCGTAAAAGTCTGACCTCCTCCCTGAGATCTGTTCCCCTATATCAAAGTCTGGACAGAAGTAGAACTAAAACTGTCTGTTTTGTCTCTGCAGGCTTGAAGGTGGCTGCAGCTTTGATTATATTGAGGTTTTCGATGGCCCCCACTATAGTTCCCCTCTCATTGCTAAGATCTGTGATGGGTACAGGGGCTCCTTCATCTCAACATCGAACTTCATGTCAGTTCGCTTCACCAGCGACATCAGTGTCACACGGAGAGGGTTCCATGCTGAGTACTACTCCACCTTTACTAATGACAGCACACGTAAGTTTCCTGTGAGAATGCTTGGTTCAGAATGGGGACATCACTGAGAGCCTTCTGTTGCTCAGCTGTCCTGTGGTTGTGAAATACAAAATTAGGTCAGCCCCGTCAGAGCCCCAGGGCTTGGTTTCCTGCCTAGCCAGGCCTTGGACACTGAGTCTTGGGAATCTAGCTGCTGGATATGAGGTCAAGGGCCAGCACTGGATGATTGGCAGTGTATTAGTCTTATTGTAGTCAGCAAAGAGGAAGTAGACGGTACAAGATCAGGCTTTCAGCAGATAGTAAGAAATCAGTGCCAAAGGCAGAATAAGCACCTGATTTGAAGCTTCATGACCTTCATTGAATACGGGACACTGGCCAAGTCCTGAGACCTAACAAAGTAGACTTCCATCTGAAGATGCATGGGGCTGGTCACAGCCACTTCCAGCAGCAGCCATGTGGCTCCAATCTGAGGTGTTATATGGACTGATGTATACAGTGATCAAGGGCCAGGCAAGATGCTGTCCAAGGTCTTTTAAGCAGTCAGAATCTGAAGCACTGACTTTCTCCATAGCTACATGACCTTACTTTAAAATCACCCAAATTTGACTGTTGAGCTACTTTACTTGTAAACAAATAGTAATGTGGCAAAATATTTCACTTGTTTAAAATCTTGCCTCCTGTTGTCCATCAGGGACATCCTAAGTCCATTTGCCTCCTTTGGGCTTTCATGAGGAGGGGTTGATGGAGTTGCAGAGCACCCAGGGGCTGCAATGAGATATATTCTATCCATGCACCCTAAATGCTAACTGTGTGCACCACTGTCTCTATCTTTGCTCCTTTATATGGAAAAAGCACCCAGTAGGACTTGTGGGGCTTGGGGACACTGACCAAGTGTATTATGTGCCCTGTCCATCAGATCTGTTTTGTCTGCCGAATCACATGCAAGCCAGTGTGAGCAGGGCCTACCTCCAATCCCTGGGCTTTTCTGCCAGTGACCTTGTCATTTCTGCCTGGAACGGGAACTACCAGTGTCAGCCCCAGATAACCCGGAGTCATGTGATATTCACAATTCCCTACTTGGGCTGTGGCACCATCAGGCAGGTAAGCCTGGAATTGCTCACTCCACTTCCTACTGAGCATGCTTTCCTACAGTGATATATACCATGCATCTTGAATGCTTGGGATCCTCATGTTATAATTAGAACAGTCAGACCAAGGGAAGATAGAAATCTCTGGGACCATGATCTAGCTATAGCTGCTTCCAAATAGGAGGAAGTAGGAGGACAGAAGAAAGCTCAGTGGGCAATTTCTCCAGCTGTATCTTGCAGAGAGTGCACCTGGTAGGCTGCCACTCCCACCAGCAATAACAAGGGCAGCTCCAGGTCAGTTATGAGTTTTATAGGGGCCTAAAGCTTGTATAGTGTGGGGCTGAGATGAGTGAGAATGGCAGGGGCCCCATTAAACCAAAGAATACATCTATATCTTACTTTCCTGAGCTTTCCAGAAGTGCATGGCTATGCAAACACATTGCTAAGCCTTGGAGAAAGCCTATTCGCTCATTAGTGTCACAATTAACTGGTTTCTGCTGCTACCATTTGTTGAGCTGTCACCATCTAGGGTGACAAACCATCCTGGTTTCCCTGAAAATGCAGATTTTAGCACAGAATGTCCCATGTCCCAGGAAATCCTTCAGTCCTGGGCAAATTGGGACCGTTGTCATTTTACAAGTAGCAGATGCTGTGATTAGTCCATAGCCTGCTCCCTCAATTTCTCAAGTATTCACCTATTGTCATCCTTGCTTTAAAAATGGGAAACAAGGGCCGGGGATTTAGCTCAGTGGTTCTGCTGCCTGCCTCTAAAAATGGGAAACTGAGCTGAGAGAAACCAGGCATGTTGCCCAAGGCTGCTCAGCCATGAAGGGGTAGGGCTGACACCAGAATCTGAAAATCTGAAGAAACTTGTGCTGAGGGAAAGGAGCCGTGCCTATGACTCCATTTGTATTAAAGTTAGAACTGGAGAATAAATGTGCAGTGACAGGATGCTTATCCACGGCTGTTTGCTACCAGGTTGGAGGGGTAGCTGCCAGGAGTAGGAGGGAGCTGTGGGGCAATGAGAATGTTCTGAGGCAGTGATGACATCGTCAAACCATTGAAAGTACAGTACATTTATCCCGGGTGCATTTAATTTTAAATTAGCAATTCTAAGTTCTGAATTTTTGCCTGATACCTAAATAACCATTTCAAGATTTTGTGTTAAGGACCAAAACAATGATAATACTTTTCTTTGGCTTAGGATTGCAGGTCATACATAGTATGAAATGCTCACATTGATTGTACAATGTATGTGGAGCACACAAGGCCAGCCAGGGCCATGTTCCTGCACCAGAAACGTAGTGACCACTTGCCATGTGGCAGTCGCTGTGCTAGGTGCTAAGGTGATGCTCTTCATTACCTGGAAAACATGTTCCTGCTCTTTTGACTCACAAGAAACAGCTAGGAAGGGGACAGTCATTTCACCAACTAGATGGGCCCACTGGCTATGAGTGCCTGGGTCTGAGGGCCTACAATGGCTACATGGTCCACAGCTCCCCTAATCAGATCTTATATACACCAGGTCCCCTTTGAAGAGGAATTTGGTGGGTCAGGTAGACTTACTTCAGGGAAGAGTCCATATCAGCCATGTCATGCAAGTGGTTTGTTCCAACTGGCTTTTATATTTCATCCTATAAGTTAATCATGTTGGGTTCTGATTTGTCATGAGTTTAGGCCCTGGGAGTCAGCCTATCAATAGTGATGATTGCTTCAGAAGCAACCTTGTTCAGTATCCCAACCAGCCAGCAATAGAGTTTTACCCTTGACAGTGTATAAGACTAAAATGAAAAGTTTCTCTTCCTTTTTACATTTAAAGATTAAGGTTGCCTTAGATGTTAGGATTTCTGTTTGGGTCACTAATGGTGTTATTTTTCTGTTCATTCTCGCAAAAGTATTCATGGCGTGCTGGGACTCAAAGGATGTGGGACTGGAAGAGATTTGGTTTTGGCCATCGTAGGACTTGCTAGGAGAAGAAATCCCGCAGTCCCCAGCCGGGCGATGATATTCTCGTCCTCACCACCAGGGCTGTGTGATCACAATTGTGAAGCTTCCAGGAGGTCTTGTTGCCTGTGTCCTCTTGGCCATTTGGAGTGACAGCTCCCTGCCTCGTCCTCCCCTCATCCTAGCACTTCCATAGCACTGCTGGCCCCTGTTCCTTTCATCCATTCCATTGACACTTACAGATGCTACCAATGCTACTGGTGACACTATGTCAAGCCCTCAAGAAAGAATGTTTAGACATCATCTTTCCTGTAAGATGATCACAGCTTCCAAGAATAGGGCTCCCGTCCTGGGGAAAAGTCACTTTTAAGAGATGGTAGGCACATCAAATTGCATGAGGGGCCAAGATTCTTAGGAATTTGTTGGTTAGTGAAAGGCACAGTAGCAAATGGTCCTGTGGTATAGAGAGGTGGGACAGAATGGCTCCAGGGTGCCCAACCCCAGAGACCAACCCTGCTACTAGTGTAACTCTGTATCTCTATGGCTTCTAGCTCCCATAGTATCAGTCATCAAGCTGCAGCAGTTACCAGTCAATCAAAACACCAAGCAGTTAACACTGATCTCACCAGACCCCCCTCTGATGAGTATGCGTCTTCCTCCCCTATGACTCCCAGAAGCAGTGAGAATGAAGCAGAATATTTTGTTCTGAGCCTTGAAACATGGAGTCCAAGCTCAGCTAGTCACATGGTAGGTCAAGAGACCATCCAAACACACCAATCTTGCCATGAGGAAGAGCAACGACTGGCCCACACCATGGTCCCCATCATGTGGTAGAGGAGTGCGAGGAGGAAGTCTTACTAGTTGAGCTGGACATCCAGGCCAGATAATAGCAGCCACAGGAACAGGCATGGGCCATCTGTATGTGGTCTGGGAATATTTTGAAGTTTGTGGAGTCATTTCCTTCTTGTTATAAATCAAATCAGCAATGAAATTCTCTTACCAGAAGACATTTGGCTAACTCTGCTCTCCTGCCTGCCTCTCCTAGGTCGATAATGAAACCATCAGTTATTCCAACCTCCTCAAAGCAGCTGTTTCAAATGGCATCATCAAAAGGAGAAAGGACCTCCACATTCATGTCAGCTGCAAGATGCTCCAGAACACCTGGGTCAACACCATGTACATCACTAATGACACCATTGAGGTCCAGGAAATCCAGTATGGCAATTTCAACGTGAACATTTCTTTCTTTACCTCCCCCTCCTTCTTATATCCTGTGACTCATAGCCCATACTATGTGGACCTGGATCAGAATTTGTATGTTCAGGCTGAAATCCTCCATTCTGATGCCTCCCTGGCCTTATTTGTGGACACTTGTGTGGCTTCACCATACCCCAATGACTTCTCATCATTGACTTATGATCTCATCCGGAGAGGGTAAGTACTACTTTATAGGTTTAAACCTCTGCCTGATAATTCAAACATAGTGGCGCAGAAGGCTCAGAGTACAGATTTTAGTTAACTGAAATTCTTAGGAGTGGAGGCTTAGCTAGACCCTTTTCTAGTTTTAGTAATATCTTGTGACTTTTTCTTTTGAGAGCCTTTCTTGTTGTGTCCTGGACAACATCCCTGATTAGAGAGGCAGGATTTTCATGCATCATCTCCAGTTAACACGTAGGAGAAATGGAATGACTCACCAGTGGTCACTCAATAAGTTGGCTGTAAAATGTGATTAGACCCTAGGTGACCAAACACTATGCTTTGGTTAAAACTATCTGTGTTTAATGGGAAAAGCATTGGTTTGGGAGCGGAACAAGGTTGAAATGCATACCTCTTTGGGCCAGTTTCCTCACCTGTCAATTGTGATAATGATGCCCACATCATAAGGCTTTCCTATTACAAGAAAAAGCAGGTGGTCCACAGGATCACTGCATTGAAGTCATCAGAAGGTCTTTGTGACTTCCATGGGCCTGGAAAGTTCTCCAGTTCAGCTCAGGAGGTGCAGGGGTCAGGCCAATGTGCTTTGTTACTCCAGCTTCCCAGATGAGGCGCTCTGCAGAGGTGGGCGAGACTCTGCTGCTTTCCCTGATGGGGTCCTGAGAAGCCAGAGGTACAAGTCCAGTCCTACTCTGTGTTCCCTGCTGGTAGTGGCACTGCACTTTTTGACTTGCAAAGTGGCCTTTAATATCTTAGTAGCCATTGCCTCCTAAGAAATTATGCTGACAGGGTAAGGATTGCTGCTAGGAACAAAGGGTGAGGATTAAAGATCACACCTCCCCAAGGTACTAAAAGCAGCATCTCTTTCCAGGCACAGTTGGAACATGTGTCAGTTGAGTAAACAAGGGGTAAGGCTCATCTTGTCTGTAATCTATGCAGTTGGTTCAACTAGCAGCCGTCCCCCCAGCAACAGATGGAAAGAAAGGTTACCCAGATCCCCTCTCTCCATAGAGGAACAAGTTGGCATTTGAGTGGATACAGAATGATTGAAATGAATGCAAATAAATGAGCAATTTAATAGCCTGCCAAAAGATTCTTGTCTGTTGGTGACATTCTGCCACCTATGTAGTGATGCTGTTTTACAAAAGGAGGGGTACTAAATGCATGTGGAGAAGAGAAATCCAATGAGGGTGCTACTTAAAGATGCTGTTGATGTATGAGAGCTCCCTGGCCTGTACCAAATGCCCTACCTCTGAATGAGCCTCTGGGTTTTTCTCTCACCTTGGCCACTAAGGAGGTTGCTGTGGGAAAAACAAAACAAAACAAAGAGATCTGAGTATTTGAAAGCAGCTGAGGTGAGGGTAGAGGCAGGAAGTAAGCTTTGGAAGACAGAGGAGGGAGGGTAAGCAGACCCAGGACAAGTTTCTGGGACAACCAGGCTGTCCTGGGACTGCGGCCATTCATCCACAAGACATTCACACCCCGTGGTCCCCAGGCCAGCTTACCTCACTCTTCTCTTGCCCCCTCATTCAAAGCCCCACCATTATAACTGCACATGGTTTCTCATGGGGAGATGCACCTTTGTTCATATCTAGTAAAATTCCCTAAGCAGATTCTTAAGTCACTTTCCCTCTACCACCAGCTGGGACAAGGGAATGAGGAAGGAATTCTGCCAAGGGAATGAGGAGATGCTTGGATACTGGAGTAGGGGTCCTACGTGGTCCACAGGCCAGTGTGGAAAGTACAGCTGCACAGGGCTCAGGAGAGGCCCAGTGGTTCAGGAGAGAGAGGCCCTGGAAGAAGGAGAGCCAGGCAGGCTGGGGAACACTGACATTGCCCAACTTAGAGCCAAATGTCACTTTGCCTGGCCCTGCAACCAGGAAAGGGAAAGAAGTTATCTTTTTTCCTCCCCTGTATTTGGCCTGCTCCTGGGCTGCAAACTTGAGCTTCTACTTCCTGACTCCCCGGCTTAGTTGCGGCCACTGAGCACGTGTTCTTACTTGAACCCTAATCTTCTGTGCTGTGCAAGGCCCGGTTGTCTGCCTGGAAACTCCAGGGGGACTCGGAACTGGAAGCTGCTGGTGATGCATCAGCCTGTCAGGGTTTGTCTGCATCCCTGGCAGTGAGTGTGTGATCCACATGGTCTTCAGAAAGGAAGTGAGGTCTCTCGGGAGGCCGAGGCGGCCAGGATGGGCTGTGGAGTTCCACGCTTGGTATAACTGAGTCATGATAAATCCAGTGCCTTGGTGAGAACTAACAGGGTTTTTTTATCCTATTCTTCCAGGTGCATAAGGGATGAAACCTTTCAAGTCTACTCCCAACCATCTCCCCGGATTGTCCGAATGAAATTCAAATCCTTCCACTTCCTGAACCGCTTCCCCTCAGTGTACCTGCAGTGTAAACTGGTGGTGTGCAGAGCGTATGACTACTCTTCCCGGTGCTACAGAGGCTGTGTGGTGAGATCCAAGAGAGATGTGGGCCCCTACCAGGAAAAATTGGATGTAATCCTGGGACCCATCCAGCAGCAGGTTCCCCCTGAGGAGAAGAGGAGCCTGGGTAGGTCACCCTCGGATGACCCCGCTGCTCGCTAAAGCCTGGCCCTATGACACTCATGGAATTAGGATGCTTCTGTTGGTGTTATGTTACAGCCCAAAGTGAATACCTACTATGTGCCAGGCATGCTGTGCTATGCCTGGGCAGACAGTTCTGACCCAGAAGGCGTATAGACCTGAGGCTTTATCCTCTGCTTCTCGTGCATACAATGAAAATGCTATTCCTTACCTTTACTACCGCTGAGAGGGTTCAATAAAGTAATGTTAATTAAACTGCCTTGACCCCTGAGTAGTGTGTGTCATTGGGTACTTTATGAACAATAGCTTTTGTTACTGTTGGTATTATCACCCATAGTAACAACCCTAATGATGCTATTATTCCTCATCATGATAACACCAAGTGATGACACCAGGCCAACGTCAGGATCAGGCTGGCCATGAGAATGATGGGTGTGTGTGGGGGGGGATATTCCCAGGACTCTCAGGGTGACTTGCCAGATTCCTGGCCCAGTGATGAGGACAGGGATGGGCTAGCAGTAGTAATCACAAGCACTCCCTTCAAGCAGGGCATCACTCTCAGGCATCGTTAACAGCTCCCTCCCTTCATGCCCAGTATTAGGCATGTCCCTGTGGCCAGCTGATTTTCCATTCTTTCCTTACTTATTCATTCAATGAATATTTATCAAATACCTATTGTGTGCCAGGAAGAAAATAAACAGACATAGATCAAAATTCCTGTCCTTGAGGTGTTTACACTCCAGTGGGACAAGGTACAATCAGAATAAACCTAGTGCACGCTATGTCCTATAGCATCAGAGCTATGGAGAACAGGACAGGACGAGGGAAGGGGTAGCTGGTGTTACCTTCGCTCCTCTCCCTTTATTCCCAGTAGCCACTTCAGTAGCTCAAGTCTTGGCAGTTTCTCCCTTGGGAGTGTTATAATCATTTCCCAGCTGGTCTAAAATGCCCCACCTCTCTCTCCTGGCTACTGGAACCTCAGGCCAGAATTGTTCTCCTAAAGTCCAACTCTGAGCTCACTCAAAAACCTTTCCTTAGGGCCGGGGATTTAGCTCAGTGGTTCCGGCGCCTGCCTTGCAAGCGCAAGGTCCCGAGTTCGATCCCCGGTACCAAAAAATAAAAACAACCTTTCCTTGATTCCCTGACTAATAAGACAAGGTGAAATAAAACTCTCGCACCCAATGCTCAGCTGCCCTTTGGGGTATGACCTCAGTTTCCCCTTCAGCACTTCCCTCTCCCATTTCTTTTTAGATTCCCACCAAACAGTTCTTCTAATGGGGACAACAGCCCTTACTTGTCTTCTTTTTCCTTCTCCTCTGGGTTCTGTCCTGGTCCCAACTCTTTTCTCGGTATCCTCTTCTCCCAGACCTGGTGGTGGCAGAAGTGGAGAAGCTGGGAAGTTCGCAGCGCAGGGGAGCTCTCAGAACCCTGCCATTGCTGCAGGGGTCTTCCTGGCCTTGGTCCTGGCTGTGGCAGCCTTCACACTGGGGAGGACACGCAGCACCAGTGGCTGTCTCCCAAGCACAGGGATGTGAAGCCAGGAGAATGTGCTCAGACCCTGCCCCCGTGTGCACAGGCAGCCTGAGATGATGGAAGAAGTGAGGGCACAGAACAGGGCACCCAGGAGCAGCCTGACTAAATCTCTCTTGGCCTGACTGTATGATGAGATGAGCTGAGGTGGCAGTGCAGTGAGGTGGGGCCCAGGCTTTTCCTGGATCCACAGCCTCCAGGCTGGACAGAATGGCACAGGTCAATGGCGGCAATGTCTACAATCCCACATGCAGCTGTGAGCCAGAAACTGATAGGAGCAGAACTTTCTCTAGACAAAATTTCTTTTCTGATCTTTTAGAAATCAGCTTCTTAGTCTGTAGTATGAATCTCAGCCTTTCCTTACAATAGGGCAAGCTAAATAAAGAATCTTTTTCCATGTAAGTGTCTTGCTTGGTCAGTGTTTCCAGAGGTTCACCTGTGACCTGGATCCCCTCAAATTAAGCAGACAGCTAGGGAGAGATGTCAGCTGGAATAATAAGAGGTGAGGGGCTCTGATTTTGGCCTCCAGAACCTCCTAGGGAGTGGCTAATGTGTCCTGATATCCTTGGGAGTGAGAAATCTTTAGCTGCTGTGGGATGCAGGATGTGCCCCTGAGCCCTTCCAGGGGTACAGAAGAACTAGGGATTGTGGGGTTATTTCATCGTTTCTCATTTTCCTGGCCATAATTGCCCACATTCACCCTTGCCACCAAGCTGGGTGGTCAAGGAAAGGTGGGAGGGCCACCCCACGGGGACAGGCCTGCCCTGAAAAGCAGTAGCAATGCAGTGAAATGCAGGCACCAGCATTTCAGCTCTGAGAAATGAATGCATTTCTCATAGCAATGCAGTGAAATGCAGGGCCAGCTCTGAGCAGATGTGGACCTGCTCAGAGCCCAGTGACGCTGTGTTGGGCCACACCCTCAGAGGAATGGAAGACCTACAGATACCATATCCCGTAGATGAGGAGAACAGCAAAGCCTGAATGCATGGTATGTGCCTATTTTGAGTTCTGTCCTGTTTCCTTCTGGGGACACACCTGCCTTCCAAGCAGCAGCATCACTTCCCATCACCATCCTTCTCCTGCCATCCCATCTGTGGAGGGCAGAGGGCGCTGCAGCTTAATATTAGTACCATTTTGTTTTGGGGAATTCATTACTGTACCTGATTTCTTTGGTTGCCAATAGCTGACCAGTACAAGAAGCTTTTCCATGTGTGTGTGTGTTTGTTTGTTGGTTTGTTTCTGTGTCACCGCTACCTTTCTTTTGCTTTAAGGATACAATCTAATTCTTTTCTCTGAAAACAGACTAATAGTTTTCCTTTCTGCCCAGTTCCTACCACATGCCAAAGGTGGCCTCCCTTCAGCCCCTAAAGATGCTGTCCCCGTCAGTCTGTCTGGCTCCGAGACACCTGAAGTGGCTAGCTTGGGGTTTTTTTCAGAGGGAAACTCACATCCTGAAAGTTTTGATGGCATCAGGTGGCTTCCAGGATGTGCTACTCAGGCAGTAGCACATCCTTCACCAGAAACTGTCATTTGCCTGAGGGCAAGATAAATTGAACCTCAGAGTCTCCTCCCAGTGGGCTGTATTGGACACATAGCATGGGTTGTGTGTGTTCTTGGAGAGGAGGCTCAGGTATGTGCTGACAGGGAGAGAAAATCATATTAGGGAGGCCATGGCAAGGAATGCTGTATGTTCAGAAATTTTGCAGGTGAGTTGTTAAACAGTCATTATAAAAAATTACATTTAGTGAATTATATCAAGAACAAAGGTAATAAATCCTAAAAATTCATTACTTTCTAATTATTTGACTCCATTTAACTGAGATCTTTGCCCCGGTTATTTACATACAACGTATCTGCCTGGTGGAAATACCATCTACTGCTGAATGACTACCCAGCTCTTCCCAACTCTCCATACATGGCACTGCCTTGTAGCATAAAATGACGATGAGAAAATATTTACATCATGCAAATCATGCTACAAATCAGGGATTCCCTCTTTTCAGACACTTTTAGTCAATATTTCCCAATACACGTGGCCCATAGTTCACTCGTAAGGGATCCATACTCTAGGAGAGCTTGGCAAAACCTTCAGTGGTTTGCCACTATGTTGAAATCTCCTTTCTTAGCATTACATCTTATGAGAAATACCTGTATCTTAGTAGATCCGGAATCTAATTTTACCTGGCCCAGGAGAGGCCTTAGCAAACTCCCCAGGATCTAAGGCAAGTCCAGGTAGGCCACAGTTGTGAGCTCCTGGGGAGGGGTAAGATATCCAGGTACAGGTTAGGGGCAGGTCAAGGACAGGGAGCAGAAGGTAGGGCTGTGGCATGGAAGACTTTGAGACCGCCCCTTATCTCCCTTCAACTAAGCCCAGGCCCAAATTTCCTCTCTTCCTCCTCTAAGCCATGCAAAACTCCTCAGCTCAGCCTTGGATCACTGACTTATTGTTACCTCCAGATAACAGTTCCCTTTCTCCTGGAACTCTGTATGTATGAGTGGCCAGGAATCTGTACTGTTTGTCCATGTTCTGAAATGAGGACCAGCATCCCAGCCAGATTAGAGGCACACATGGTGGAATCTTCCAGATGTTGAAGCTCCAAGAGTGAGTGGTGGACCCATGAAGAGCAAGGCCACCATGTGGAGTTATGACCCACGGCATTAAGCTCTAAGACTCACAGAGTTTTCAGTGAGCATCATACAGGGGTGAAAATTTTCAAAATTTGCTCCATCCTCATCTACAGCCTACTGGGATCTCTTTGAGGTCAAAGTAGCACTGAGCTTATTCAGGAAGGCATTCCTGTGATCTAGTGCAGTCAGCATCTCTCCTCAACCAACCTGCCTCTTCCCCCTGCACCCAGTACAATCTTCTCTATATAAGGCTGAAGGTGGCAAATGTTGGAGAACTGAGGGTTGGCCTGAGGTGTCAACTGATGGTGCTAAGCTCAGGCTCTTCCTGCTTATGAGGGCTGGGAGTCTGAACGGGTAGGAGCTCACAGGGAGCACAGGATCAGACACCTCTCAGGACAGAGACCTGTGGTAGCTCTTGACATGGATCTTCCTCCCATATGAATGATTCTGCATGATGTTAGGAGAGAACAGAGTCAGTGGGAGGGATCAGGAAGCTGCTGGAAGTCTGGACCTGTAAGATCATAGTGAAAGCTCTCCTGTTAGGTTTGGTAGGGGACCTGGTTGATTCCTGTTGCATGGGAAGAGCCATCTGGTCATAAAATCTGTATCCCTCTCCACTGCTTTGATAATGGATTTTCATTTTCATTTCTATTCCTTCAATGACTTTGCTAGTAGGACCAACTTGAGCCTATTTATCTGGGACTTTCCCATTTTAGCTCTGAACGTTCCGTTTTCTGGATCCCCTCTGACAAATCAGGACGGCCGGTCACCCTAGACTCAGGACCAAGGCTGCAGGGCAGAGGTCCAGGCTGCACCAAATGCAGCAGAAGGAGACTGAGGCCAGATCCTTGGCCAAATGCGCAACACGCAAAAGTATCTGGGACCTTCCTTGATCATCCATATAGAGAAATTTTCAAGGCTACCCTTGACTCAGGTAGATGTCAGGGTCATTTTATTGATTTTGGTTCCTAGAGACAGACCCAGATGGATGGGAAGCTCTCAAGTTTTATTCAGGACTGGAGAGAGATCATGAGTTTCATAAGCATATGGCCGTGTGTGTGTGTGTGTGTGTGTGTGCGCGCGCTCGCGCGTGTGTGTGTGTGTGTGTGTACATGCGTACTGGTGCATTAGTCTGCTAGGGCTGCCACAGACTAAGTGGCTTAAACAACAAAACTTATATTACAACTCTGAAGCCTAGAATTCTAAGGTCAAGGTACAGATGGTGTTGATTTCTTCTGGCTTATATATGACTGCCTTCTTCCCATGTCTTAACATGGTCCTTCCTCTATGTATGTCTGTGTCCTAATCCCTGTTCTTGTAAAGACACGAGTCATATTAGATTTGGGGACACCCTCATGCCTCATTTAACCTTAATTGTTTTCCTTTTTGGGCATGGGATTGAACCCAGGACCTTTGCACTGAAAACTACATTCATAGCCCTTATTTTGAGACAGGGTTTTGCTAAATCACTAAATTCTGCAGGTTAAACTCAAATTTGTGATCTTCCCGCCCCATCTCAGAGTTCTGGGATTATAGGCATGCACCACCACACCTGGCTCTTAATTATCTTCTTAAAGATTCTATCTTCAAAGACAATCACATTCTGAGGTATTTGGAGTAGGACTTCAGCATATGGATCTTTCATGGCATGGGACACGATACTGCTCATAACAACTGGAAAATGTCTTCAAGCATTGCTTGCAGCACTGAGTTAGGAAGGTACATGGTTTATTCTACACAGTGTGGGCAGCCACGACAGCCTTTGCCCTGCTGAACAAATGGAAAAGGAAATGTCTTGGGGGCTGAGGGAGACCTGGTAGGTTGAGTGTCCCAAGACTCTGAAATTAAGGGAATTCTTCTCCAGGAAAAGATCCTTGGATGTGCAGGTTCTGGTCTAAGTCCTTTGTGAAGGGAAGTTTACCTCAAAGAGAAAAGAAGGAGTTTGGAGTTGTCTTCTCATTTCAGGAGGGCTAGAGGCCACAGCTGGGCTGCATCACCAAGGCTGTGGGCAGCAAGACCAACCTCAGAGAGTTTAGATGACCAGGCCTGGGTCTTGTTTTAGAATTTTTCTCATCGTTGTAAATAGTTTGTAAATATGTGGCCACTTCTTTCTGCAGGATGGAGGGGGAAATTGACACCATCCCTGGAGAAAAAGGCTGATGAATTAGAAGTGTTTCAGATTGAGTAAAATATAAAAATTGGTGTAAAGAAATAGAAAAAGACTTAGCTGTATTGTAAAGTAATTTTCAAATTTTGGCCTCACTTGAGGAACTTCTTTCTGTCAGCCTAGTGTGGTTGGGCATTTTGCAGTCTTTCTTGCACTCTGCTGTGATGATGAAGGAGATGAATCTCTAGTCATCTTAGACACCTCGCTTGATGTCTGGTGCAACTTCCAGCACTCAACATCAAGAAACAACAGATGAGCGCAAGGACCCGAGTTCAATCCCCGGTACCAAAAACAAAAAGCTCAGGTGCAAACAGAAGAGCAAGGTTCCCAAGGTCCAGAGAAGCTGGTGAAGCCCAAAGTGGTGAGCTAGGCTGAAGCTCAGGCAGCAGTGCTTGCTTGGTGTTCTGGGAAAGCTCCCTAGTCAGGCACTGAAGTGGACAGACCCAGCCAGTTAGCCAAGAGAGGCTGGTCAGTCTCACCGACCTCAGGGCCACACAGCCCAGTGCTCATCTCTGGCCAGATCTGCCCTCTCCACCATCACTGCAGCATAGTTCCATTGGCTCTGGACTATCGACCTGGGAAGGAGCCAAGCAAAGGCCCCTGTGAAACCACTGAGCCCACAAGAGTGGAAGGTGGGGAAGAGCCAGAGCAGAGGAAGTAGGGAGAGACAAAAGGAAGTGCATAATAAAATACCTCCCACTCCAAATGGGCCTGTAAATCAAAATTACACAATGTTTGGTGAATAACAGCCAGTGAAATCACTAATCAGATCAAATATTCACTCTGGATTTGTTTTGCAATTTTTCTATTGAGGTACAATTCAAATAGCATGAAATTAACCACTTTAAAACTATGGAATCACATGACATTTAGCACCTTTACAGTATTATGCATTCCTCTTCCCTTTCTAGTTTCACAAGTATTTTTAAATATGCCTAAATAAAACCCCCTACCCAGTCAGCAGTTATTCCCACTGTCTTCTCCAGGCCCTGGCAACCGCTGATCTGCTTTCTAGGTCAGTGAAGATACCTGTTCACTCCAGATTAACTTTAAGAAACATTCCTGCAAAGAATGCAATGGGAATGTTAAAGATGACCAAAGGTATTGTTGAAGGTATAACTTTAGTTTTTAAAAATTATTTTGAAATAATTTCAAATAAATGTTGGAGGAAGAGTACAAAGAAGAATACAAAGATTACACAAGTAATCATGCGCTCAAGACATCCTTCCTATTGTCCCGATGCAAAGTATTTGATTTCTTTTTTCTCAGTGTAAAGATCAGTAAAAGCAGAGAGTATCAATATGATACACCCTGAAATGCTGACTGCCTTGAAATTTCCTC